ACAGCTCCTCAGACTGAGGAAGTCTCTCTGATGAGAGACGAAACGTTTCTACATTTTTTTTGTTGATTTGCCATCCATCCATCCATCCATTTTCTTTACCCGCTTATTCATTGGGTCACGGGGGTCGCCGGTGCCCATGTCCAGCAATCACTGTGCGAGGGGCGGGGTACACCCTGGACGGGTCGCAAGTCCATCACAGGGACACACAGAGACAAACGAGACAAACAACCATTCACTCTCTCACTCACACCTAGGGACAATTTAGAGTTACCAATCAGCCTAACATGCATGTTTTTGGACTGTGGGAGGAAACCAGAGTACCCGGAGAAAACCCACGCATGCACGGAGAGAACATGCAAACTCCACCCAGAGAGGCCCCTGGACTGGGATTTGAACCAAGGACCTGCTCGCTGAGAGGCAGCAGCTCTACCAGTTGCGCCACCGTGCTGCCCTCGGTTGAGTTTTCAAAAATTATAAAGGTCTTTGAAATTGAATGAAAAAGATGTGCATCACCCGCCACCTTTCATATCACAGTATAAAGCTAAGATTGTTTTTATCTGGAAATATGATGCAGTCATAGCTGGTCTTGTCAAACCTGAAGAACTGATTGGGTTATAGCCATTTTTGCATTAGCTAATGGGCTACAACGGTTAAGACACTGATCTGTCCACTGCCTCTCAGAAACATTATTTGCTGTAATTTGAAAGGATTCTCTGAGATCTTTCTGTTTGGATTATTACAAATCAGGACATTGTGTTTCCTGGATCATGTGGCTCTGGAATAACTCATCTGTGGACTGCTAGAAGTTGAGGTGTCTGCTGCTCTGCTCAGCGTGAAAAGAACAATTTGTTGTCGTCGTTATTCTTTGGATGCTTTCTTCAGCATGGGTCGCCACACTGAACGAATTCACATGAAAAATCTGTCAATTGAAAAAAAAAAAAACATAATTCAAGAGCGCAGCAGAGGAAGCATCATGGTTTGGGTCTTAAGTCCTGCCTCTGTGCATGTATAGTTATCATCTCTAAAGAATGAAGGAACATCTCTGGAGGAATCATCTAAGTAGGCAAGTTTATTTTTAATTTTTGTAATTTTATTGTTTGTTTTAATTTTGCTACATTTTGCCACCGCGCGTATTAAGACAAACTTTTGCTATGACAGTAAAACCTTAATGTAAAGTTTGAGATCAACACTCAGCAACGATTAACAATATGCTCAACTCGTATCTGATGCATATTTGTTGCAAAGTTTGACAAATTATTTGGCTTCAAGCAAAACATCTTTACAATTCTGAGTATCTCTTCTGCTTTGGGACAGTTTCTGACGTAAAAAATGAAGCTTGTACAAATGTCCAACGCTGATGTTATTCACAGAACGATCATCCTCAGAACCTCATTTAGTTTAATGATTGCTTTACGTTGTTGCACAACAACTAATGTGTTTGACTTTAGGGCTGTTATTGTGCTCCTTACAGAGGAAAACACATTTCACATTGTGGTCGCATTTTAAAAGGTCTATTTTATTTTATTTTTAAGGCTTTTATTTAAAAAAATTAGAGGCTTCAATCTAGCTGCCTTAATAGAAAAAAAAAAAACATATTACGGTCTTCCTGGTCTTTTCTCTTAACAGAACCTTTGAGTGTGCAGGAGAATATGGGTTTATACCCCTTTAAATGCTCTAAAAACATGTTTTTTTTTTGTCATCAAAATCTACTAGACACAACCCAAAAGACAAAACGCTTCCCTTTACTGTATTTCCAGCACTTCCTGATGAAGTGAACTGAGTTTTGCTCTTTGCCAGAACTTTACATGAGCTGACACCAGTTTATGTGCTGTATGGTTGCACAGTTAATGTCCTTGTGAACGTGTTGGGGTGATAAGCCCACTGCATTGTTTGAAAGCCCCCATCAGCACCCCACTGTCCCGAGCCAATAAAAGTCTGCTAAGCAACTTTGACTTTGCACATGCAAATGAGTCTTTGTTAGAGAAAAGGAGAGTCAGATTATATCCTGACACCAGACTGATATGACTAAGATGAATAATATTAGAATAAATAAAATAAATGACCCGTGAAGGTTCTATTACTATTCATAGAAATGATGAGTAAAGATTATAAATATTACTATCAACAGATTACAAGTAAATAAACAATCAACACAAACACACACACACACACACACACACAAAAAAAAATTATATATATATATATATATAATTTTTGTGTGTGTGTTTTGTGTATAGTACAGTCCCTCATTTATTGCGGGGAGTTGTACCCTGAAGCCCCTCGATTAATGAAAGACCGTGAAGTAGGACTAGAAGTATAGAAGTACAAGTAGTAAGCAGTAGTTTAATTTGAGCCGGATCCCACTGGAACAAGATCCGTGAACGCTCTTATTTTGACAGGGTGCGTTCCTGCAACTGTTTGCTTCAATCCGTTAACTCTCAGGCTAACGAATAATCAAGTTATGAACAAATTTGATTTCCTTGACAGAATAAAATTTATACTGGACATCTAATCTGGAAATAATGACATAAACACTAATTTTAAACACAACAGAAATGCTTCCTAACATCACATCAGAGCTGCTCCTTCAAGTAAACATTTTCAATTCTACCCTGAAAAAATCTCCACCCCCTAAAAGTAAGTAAGTAAACTTTATTTATATAGCACCTTTTACAGGTCAGAAACCACAAAGTGCTTTACAGAATAAAAGACATAAAAACACAAGATAAAAACAAACAATTAAAAATAAAACAACATGCGTATGACATAAAACAAAAACCTAAAAGTTCAGTCATGGGCAATTTAATTAAAAACACAAAAAATGTAA